CTAAGGGGTGCTGCTGTGTCCGACAAGTTTTCAAGCGGGAACTTCGAATTTCGAAAAATTGCGTTTTTTCGTCTTTTCGCATATTTTTTCCCTCTTTTAAAATGTTAAGCAATACGGCTTTCAAATTTTTGGAAGTAATACACCTTATCGGGTACTTCAGAGAAAAATATCGCAATTTACTTCGCCTCTTTTAAAATGCCCTGTCTCCTCCTCCAATTAGCCACATCGTGCGATTTCGCCGATTTTTCGTGATCAGCTCCCTGCATTTGCCTTTTTTCAACCCGCCTTCTTATAACTCCGTTCGTACACAACTTTGAGGTTCTAAAAGTGGTTTCATTGGTTCCCTCTTGAAATTAACCGCTGGAAGTAGACCACAAAATTAGTAATGTGACGAAAATAACATCAAAATCGGCAGTTTTACCTAGTCAAGAATTTCATGTCCGACCCCTAGTAGACTCGATCCATCGTGCGACGCCTCAGCAAAAGAAAATAAGAAAAACGATTAATACTTAGAGACGCTCGCTCGTGTTTTTCTCTTTCCTGAAGTGATCATGATTGACACTTGTGCTATGTCAAGGAAAAACGCCGTGTAAGCCTTCAGGCGTTGCCAAATTTCCTTTAATTAAACACGAATTTCATGGTCATCCTATGGATATTTCCCCTCTAATTTTTTTTTTTTTTAGATAATTTTGTTCGCATTTTCACCTGTAGTCCTTGAAAATCCCAAGGGACAGTATTCATAATTTCTTTAAAAATTATAATTTTATCTTAGATCATTTGGATTGAATTTTGCAAAAAGGAACCATTAGCATTGCAATGTTGCTAAGATTGTGCAACTTCTTTTGTCTCGGAGGAAAACCCCGATTATCCATTAAAAGTCTCTATTTTACTCGCTAAAAACTGTAAATTTAAGACAAAAATTACCATGTAAATTTCATAGTTTTTCACGATTTCCGCAATTTTATCGCAAAAGATGAAGTTGCTTAATCTTAGCATCGTTGCAATGCTAGTGGTTCCTTTTTGCAAAATGCAATCCATTTGGCGACTCTTTAAGTGTTCATACGGCGTTCTTCCTTAGAGTTCCTTTATACTGAGAGTTAAGACAACACCCCCCCCCCTCATGGAGTCACAAACGGGAATAAAGATTACCCAAATTTCAGGGAATTTTTAAAAGTCAGGGAAAACCTGGAAATGTCAGGGAAAAATCCGTAAGTCACCTTTCTTTTGCTTTCTAAGGGAAGTTTGACGTTTCGAACAACCAATTCGCACGAAAACTATCTGTAATTATGCCATTTTCACCATCTGGCATATCTTCAATTGTCAGGGTATTTCGCCAAACGTTTTAGGGAAATCAGGGAAATTTCAGGGAAATTCATCTTCTAAATTCTATGGCAACTCTGTAAACTGAAAATTTTGATGTTAATTTCTTCACATTTTAATTGTGTGGGTGCTTCTTGAAGGAAATATTACGAGAAAATGAACGGAACCAGTTTAAATCCTCAACGTTCCGCAATAATATCAATGTGAATCTTCAGTGTTTCCCCTTTCCTAGACTCCTTCCATCGACTTTTCTATTATCCGAGCGCCGCGCGCCGCTGGTGAGGCGGCTAGTGTCAGAAGTCAAAACGCCTTCAACTCCGTGCATATGCAACACGGACATCCATGGAGTTCGAATAGTTGCATCCAGGCGTCATAAAGAATTTCATCCGTCGCGGTCGCATGCGACACAATATGACAAGCTTTATTGTTTCTTTTGCACCTCAGCTCTATTCCAGCGTTGCCTACTGTATGGATTTCACTCAAAGTTTTTATCGCGATATTGTCACTTCTCTAAGAAATGCAATACTTTAATAATTTACAACTTTTCCGGCCTGCAAAATCGCAATTTTTTTTTCTTCTTCTTTTTTTTCAGCATGATACGTAGACTTTCCTTTGGGCTACTTTATTAAGTCGTGTTTCGGTTGGGTTTTTTTTTCCTTTTGGGAAACCAATTTTGACGTTCAAGTGCAACATTTTGTACGAACAATCGCGAAGAATTACATGGAGTTTGAACAAAAACGATGTCCATGATTTTTGGAATAAATGAATTCTGACAGGAAATGCGTAAAGTCACAAGGCTAAATACGCGCATATGATTTCCTAGGTGCAACGGCGGAACTATTGTAGAATGAAGGCTAATTATGTTAGTGAAAGTTATATTCTGTTCTGTTCTTTCTTTCCTGAAATGTGAGCTGCGTGTAGTTTTATTTCTAGTCCCTGAGTGACACTTTAAGTTGTACTGTGGACGTTACCTAATCTGATGAGTTTGAAAACTAAGTAGCTACCCTCCAGAAACGTTCCAATCCACGCGAGAACATACAAAGCTGAAGAGTGTTCCATTCGGTCAACGTTCAGAGGCATCAACGTGCTCTTCATCCTTTACATGGATTTTGCAATTCAGCTCGTCGCCTCCCGCACGAAGAAACCTAACTCCATTCCAAGGTTGCCACTCTCACTCAAAAAATTCAACTTTTTACAAGAATGTACCTGCGCAATTTTTGTCTAAAATTTCCCTGATATTTCTTAGATCAGGAGAAAAATCACGGAGGTTTTCAGTTAGAAATGCCCAAGGCGCTCCGGAGAAAGTTAAATTTACGAGAAGTATGGCATCATTGTAATCTAGTTACGATCTTTCGTAAGGAAGGTGACGAGTTTTTCAAAATTCGATGCTCAGGAAAGCTCGTTTTGCGGAAGGCAATTCCATTCCATTGGCCTGGAAAGTCAGGGAACCCTTTAGAAATTGCAAGGAACCACGCGAATACCGTCAGGGGGAATAAATCGCCTAAATTGTCATATCTTCGAGAAGATTCGCCACTTTTTCTCCCGGTAGAACTACAAAAAGAAAAAAAAAAAAAAAAAAAAAAAAAAAAAAAATACCGTCAGGGGGAAAAATAGCCGGAAATTGAAAACTGAAGTATTTGGTCATTATACTATGAACGAATTTTGACGTGCGAATGCATTTTTCTTTATTTTAATAACACGTAGAACACGGTGCGCACATCTAAAACCCATTATTTAACTTAAAAACCACGGAATACGCAGTTCATAAAGCGCAACTTCGTCGAAAATTTCAAACGCCTCGGTTTCGCGCCGAACTGAAACCCGTTTTTGGCAATTTCCATTATTTGCTCTTCTGGCCACAGTATTGGGGTCACGAATTCCCCACTCTAAATTTTTTTTTTTTTTTTTTTTTTTTCGTAGGAATGGATGTTTTTCTCCCTTACGAGGTTTTCATCTAGTCTACTTGTAGCAACTTTAGTAATTAACCGCGTGTGAATAAATGCAGTAGACTGTAAATATTCAGACAGTAACTGTTGTCTCTGTCCTCAAGATCTACCGCTGAGTGTCGTAACACAGCGGGAGGAATTGAGTTTTTTTGATCAGATTACGTTTGATAGCCCTTTTTCAGGCATAATTGATGATTTATCAATGGGCCACTAAGCTACGAACGAATTTTGACTTGCGAATACATTTTTCTGAAAGTAAATGACGCGTAGAACACGATGTGCACATTGATAACACGAACAAATAACTCGATAACCGAGAAATGCGCAGTTCAAATCGCTCAACCTATACGCCAGAAAACGCCCCGGTTTCGCACCGAACCGAATGATGTCATCCGGCGGTAACCAGAAGCGAGCACGGGTTTCTACGACTTCTGCCAAATGTCTATCTACTCCTTGTATGTGAGAACAATACTAAAAACGGAATTTTACCTTCATAATTCAAGAATCGAATCTCATTTATGTCATCTGTAGTAAAGAAGCAACAATTTTACATTGACATGTTTTATTATAGCGAACATCAGTTGAAAATGGGAAAAGATCGCGAGTTGACTACCGCAGTCAGTAGGTACATCACAACCGTTAGTGTACCGCCGTTCGGGTGCGTTTGAAAGGTCTCGCAGTTTTTGGATTTCGGCTCCATAAAACTGCGGAAAAATCTCTACATAATCCACTCACCTAGTAATTTCGGAATATTAAATAAAATAATCAAAGTTCAATGACCTATTAATGAATTTGTAAATGTGTGCTTGTTTTAAGCAGCGACTCATGGCAAAATGTTAACTGCCGTGCTAAGGAAAAACGCCGTATGAACCTTCAGGCGTTGCCAAATTTCCTTTGTTAAAATGCGAATTTTCTGGTAAACCTATAGAAATTTTCCTTCCAAATTTTCAGGTAATTTTGCGCGCAATTTCACCTAAAGTTCCTGAAAATGTCAAGGAAAATTATTCATAACGTTCCGCACAAATGAACATTTTATCGAAGGAAATTTGGCAACTCTCGAGTGTTCATACGGTGTTTTTCCTTAGCATGACAGTCTGGCCGTGTTGCCGCCATGTCTGTGCTCTAGTGTGTTACTGCCGCGCTAAGGAGGAACGCCGTATAAACATCCGAGAGTTGCCAAATTTCACCGGATAAAACATGTATTTTTGAAGAAAGTTTTGTTTATTTTTCCTTGAAATTTTCAGATATGTTAGATTCAATGCCGAACAAAATTGCCTAACAATTGTGAAAAAAAATATTCACAATTTTCCCAATAAATTCGTTTTCATTAAAGGAGATACGGCAACGGCCAATATGGAGGCTCATACGGCGTTTTTCCTTAGCGCGGGAGTTAAGAGCCCACTGAAAAAAAAAGAAAAAAACAAACCACATTGGATCTAGAGTCCAGACTCTTAAAAACATCGACAAGAAAAAATACTCTTGGTTCGATCAGATTTAAGCTTAAATCAAGAACCAAGCCTCTTAATTTGAGCGGATTTCTTTTTGATTCAAGCGTAAAACCGTTTGAATCAAGAATTCTTTTTCTTGTCATTGTTTTCAAGAGTCTGGACGCTAGATCCAATGTGTTTTTTTTTTTTTTTTTTCCAGTGCCCTGTATTTGATTTGTGTGTTTATGGGAAAAAATGAATTTAGAAGTGGAGGAAACTAATTTGTCGTATTGTGTTTGTGTTGCAGACAATGAAGTACGAAATCGCGAACGCCTCCGAGTTCCTGATGAAGATGATCCGAGCGAAGAAACACGGGCTGACGGAAGAACAGCTGCTCCAGCTGCGGAGCTCCATCCAGCGGGTCCTCAACCTGAGGTACAGGGACCACTGGTTCCCGGAGAGCCCCTTCAAAGGCTCCGGATACCGCTGCATCCGCATCAACGGGAACCTGGACCCGGCCATCATCCAGGCGGCCAACGAGATCGGCATCTCGAAAAGTTACCTCACGGCCCTCTTCCCGCGGGAGCTCACCATGTGGGTGGACCCCAGGGAGGTGGCCTACCGGATCGGGGAGTCGGGGAGCATCTACGTCTACTGGCGGGATCCCCGGCAGTTCAAGGGACAGCCCAGCAAGTTCAACTACGTCCAGGGCCCCACCAACTCGAGCGACTCGAGCAGCTACATGTCCTTCGTCCCCGGCATCACGCGCGGCGACATGGCCTGCAACTACTCCCAGTACAACAGGCCCATCCAGTTCAACAAACCCGTCGCCTTCAACTATCTCAGATAATGTGATTGTTAAACTCCCTGGAGGAAGCGTTTTTATCGGATTTTAATCGCCGCTCCCCGAGTAGAGTCTCGCGCTGGCCACTTAGCCGTGTCCGTAGACCGAGCGGTAGACCGAGGAGATAAAGGGAAAATGAAGCTATCCTATTGGTTGAAACGGGTCAACTCCACAGCGTTAAGCGGAATGGAACAAAGTCACATCAGCGTCTGCGAAATTTCATTTTTTACTTGAAAATTGTTGTGGGGATTTCTGCCCGGTCACTTTAGCAACTGCTCATGTAGCTTGGTTCCATTCTGCTAAACGCGGTCCAACTGAACTACATTTTTGCGATTAGGAACTAAGATTTCTGGCTCATCCTTTAGAACACTAATGTGCACAGGGAAGTCAACTGTTCATACGTGGTTTCTTAACTGAGCTGGAAGTTGTGACTCCTAATTTCAAAACGTAGTCCAACTATACTGCCGTCATAAGGGAGGACGCCGTGTGAGCCTTCAGACATTTGCCAAATTTCATTTGAATAAATACGACTTTATTCGGAAAGTTGTGAGTATTTTTCTTCCGATTTTTCAGACAATTTAGGTCGCAGTGCTATCTAAAATATCAGAATATTTCAAGGAAAAATATGCATATTTTCCTCCGAAATTCATTTTTTTTTCAGGTGAAATTTAGCAAGTTTCAGATACTCTTACGGCGGTTTTCCTTAGTACGGCTGTATACGGTGCTTCCACCAATAGGATCCCTCCATTTTCCCGTTGTCTTCTTTGTCTATCGCCTTGTCTATGGATTTCGATTAACGAGCCCGCAGGCTGACTCCGGGAGCATCGTTTTTAGGTGTATCGCGTTCTTATCCTAATCCTCTTATTTTAAGTCGCTTTTATAATCTTTGTACTTTTTTCTTTGTTTGCAACCGCGAGTCCCCCGCCCCCTCTTCTCGAGTGGAAACCATCACGATCGGAGATGCCCACCTTTTTACGATCTCATATTGCCATGCTACGTTGCGCGAAACCACCCAAGTCAAGGACCAAATGTGTGGTAATAGCAACTTTAATTATTAAGTGTTCTCTGTGTATAAATTTATATTGATCTGTGATTGTATTTTATTAAGTGCGGCATCTCTGGTCCCCCCCCCCCCCCCCCATTGGCCCTATTCAGTGAATCGGCTTTTCACTAATTTTTTTTTTCTTTTCCTTTTTTAGTCGCCTCCAATCACCCTCTTTAATTTGTCTAGCCGTTCCGCCCTGCTCCCTGATCCCACCCGATATCCCATCAATCCACGATTGGAATTTTTCTGGTTCGATTTCGATTACTCAAAAGGTAAAGTCCGTATCTTAAGTCACTCTATGTTGTGTTTAACATATACCTCTAAGAAGTTCTGTTTCGCCCGTCAGTGGCGAGGCGTAAATTGCGATGTATCGATTGTTGTTCCCATTTAAACATGTGGTAAAGAATCGATTTTCAAGGTGTTCGTCGTTAACACCCTGTTAATCGATCCTTTTCCATAGTTTTAAACGGCGGTCAATCGATATATCGCAAAGCACGCCACGCCACTGATGTCCAATCCCCCTCCCTTCGAGATTCAATAACTTTTCATCGTAGGTATTGAATCACAATTAAATGAATTGATTCTATTAATTCACTCATTGTATGTAACTAAATTTTTTTGCGTCTGACTGTCTGGAGTCATCTTCGGATGTTTCATTTCGCCTCCCCCAAGTTTTGAAGTCTCTGTGTGTATCAATTTCGACGCCAACTATCTTCTTTTAAACAAGAAGGGAGGGGGACCTAAAATGTAGAGCTGTGTCTCTATTTCATCGCTTGGTGTATTTAATTTCCATATCCCTGTTTTTTCTTTTTTTTTTCTTTTCGTGAGCTTTTTTTTAGTTTTAGAAAACCTGACAAAAAATTAGTGCCAGGGATTAATATTGTACTTCTCTCCGCGATTTCCACTTTGGAACTCATGTTAATCAAAATTTATGCCCCTCTGTTATTCTCAATGTGCACAAGAGTCGATTTGTATGTCTCCAGTCCTTGTTCAGCAATTTTTCTCCCAAGTAAAAGAAAAAAATCTCCGTAATAATCGTTGTAAACTAGCTCGTCAAAAAAATTTAATGTTGAATTCGTTCTCTTCGGCACCCAGACCATTCCATCTTCATTTCGCAGTCTTCTGATCACTTGGCAAATGGCAGATATCAAGCCTTTGCATACATGTCTTCATGAAACTTCTTTTTATCGGCCTGATTCTTTGGATCACATTTTGCTGTAAGAATTACTATTTCCGACTCTCTTCTAAAAGAACGTATGTGCGATTAGTTGTCTTATGTGCTTAGGTCCTTTTGTAGGAGTCGAAAAGTAATAGTTCCTTATCGCAAGATGTATTCCAATTCAATATTTTAGTCGTTGAATACGGTGTCTGTAGCTGAAAATTAGCCGAGTAGCCAGGCTATTTGATCCATCTTATCATCACCATTTAACTGTATCAGTCAATTGCTCTACCTTCTATCTCTGCCTGGTGTCACAGCGAAGGAGTGAAAATATGATCCCTCCCTACAAGTTGATGTTATGAATCGATGGATGTCAAAATCCAACTTCTCTATTATAGGAATATATGCCACGCATGTACTTTTATAAATCTTAGGGCGCATATCCGAGTGGTTAGGAGTGGATATGGCTCTTTTTTATTTAGATACGTTCAAATAATGGACATGGGTTTTAACATCTATGGATTTATTTACACTTGCACCAGGCATGTTGGAAATGTCTCTTCCTACAAAGACACGCCTGTGTCCTTGAGCTTTGAATAGTCCTTTTGCTAATCGGCATCTGCTTTTATCACCTTTAATTGCTGTTCGTGTATTTGTATAAGTCGGGATGTCACTATTAGTTGTTTAACTGGCATATTTGTAAATATTGTACACCTAGAGTAAGTCTCGTTTCAATCAGCGGCGGTTTTTCAAGTTGGCAACACTGTTTTTATTCCGTTTAAATCCACTAAAAATATCGATTTTAGGTGAGGCAGACTGCCTCATCATGAATAGATTTTTTTACGTGCGTTCAAATGGAGGAGAAACAGTATTGCCAACTTCAAGGATCGCCTCTGGTTTCAATCTCTGTGATACTACGCTGCAGCTCTGTAAATTTCGTTTAACATTAATCGAACTGAGAAAAGGAAGTTATAATAGAATCGATGACATCTATTCGTCTATTTTTTTAAAACTTGTTGATTAGTCATTATAATTTACTGTTGGATACTGAAATAATTTAATGTACGCTCAGGGAAGTGCTCTCATTTTGAGGATGTGATCCAAGCAGTGGCGATTTCGCACTTTGGCAACGGTGTTTTCCCTCCATCTAAATCCATTTAAAATACCGATACTCTTGGTGGGGCTGTCCTGATTCACCAAATGTCGATTGTTTTGCATGCATTTAAATGGACGGAAAACGCTGTGGCCAACTTTGAGGAATCGCCTCTGGACCTAAGTTCTGGGAGCTATCAGCTATTTTTATTTCGAGGTCCGCAGCCAGTTTCACTCCCGAACCTCGCCGTTGAACATTTGATTTTGACGGCATTTTGCATTATGCAACAACCATTTACGGCTCATTCATAGAAGCGACCATTGTAGAAGGAGAGTTATGACTCATTTATGTTGTTTTAAAAATAAGCCTGAATTAGTACTTCCATATCGCAGAATGAAGTCCAACTGTCATAAATACTGATTCTCTTTTCCGTTGTTGATAAAAAAACGAACAGAACCTCAAGAGAGGTTTCGAACCTCGAAACAAAAATCGCTGGAATTGAACTCCGAAACCTACAGGAAAGAAGAGAACCTAATATCTGAAGTGTGGGCAATGAATGCCAGTTCTGATTACTTTTTTAAACCTTTTCCAATCGGAAAATTGGACACTTCCTCAAAATGACACCACTCGCCTCAAATCTCTCCTGATAACTGTAAATTCGATAGGTTCTGTACCCCTTTTTGTGATATTAATCCATTAGCTTGCACACTCGAATATGATTTGTTTGGGTAATTGCTGCGTTACTTTACTCGGCACTGAAGACTTGGCGTTTCACAAATCACTCGAAATCCATCCTGGGTCGGGAACGTCCGATTCTACAGAACTTTCTCGTACCTCCCTCATCGTTCTGATTTCTTAATTTTGTTGACGCGCTCTGACACATCGCAGCAATGACATTTTTTCTTTGATCTTAATTTTTCACCTATATTTTGTTCGAGACTCGTTCCATTTTTCAAACTCCGATCCGAGACAAGTCATTGCTGCGGCTAGTGGCTATCCGTGACATTTGGCAACACCGTTTTCCCCTCCTTCAATGCATGTAAACAATCGATTCTTGGTGCACCAAAAATCGATATTTTTAATAGATTTAAGCGGAGGTAGAACAGGGTTGCCAACGGAACCATCACGGTTTCCTTCCATCTCAGGAAATATCGAGGATTCGGCCGAGTTGCTCGAATCGATAAGTCAAAAGCGCCAATGGAGTCCATTTTTCTGTTTCCCCTTTTTCTGCGACTCAATTCGAGTAGGCTGTTACTTTTCAATTATTTTTAAATTTAAATTTAGACTATCAACTCCAGTACAAATGTCTTGTCGTCCTGTGATGTCCTTTCAGAATGTATGATTTCTCATGGTCTTCTCTATCCCGCTTATCCTGTAGCCACAAGATGTGAAAGTCGCGAAGCTCCTATCTTGATCTCGAGGTTCCGAAATCTGCCGTTGTTTCTTGTAAAGACCAGTAGACACCGTTCGTTAGTCATTTTTACTGAACATTCTCAACAAGATAAAGAATGTCTCCCTAATATTTTAGGAATGACGGTTTTATTTGGAGAGATTAAATGTGGCCGAAAGTCGTCTAAGTCACACGGCGAGATGTCTGTTTTCCGACTTTCACAATCCTGTTGCTTTCCTTGCCTCCTTTGCAGTAGATTTCCTCTTAGTTTTCAATATATACAATTATACAGGAGTAGGAATGTCACTTTATAAATACGATGCTATTTCTCTCGTAATGATGAAATAGTGTGGCTTTTTCATGAAACTGTCAACCTGACCTTTTCCCAGCTGTCCACAAATCTCAATTGATTTAAATTTTATAATCTTTCAATTTGGCGTTTCCTGTAAGTTCTCTATTAAGACGTCTCAAGGGGCTTTAAGTTTTGATTGTCATGTTTATCTTCATCTGAAGCTACTTGCGCCCGAGCCTAACGATTTTTGTCTAAAGTTCAAGGATGAGGTCAACTTTTAGTTCTAGATTCAAAAATCAGGTTTTGCTTACCCTTCTGTAAGTATGAATTCTCACCCCTGTAGTCTCGGAAAATACAATTCTGAAACGATTTTTAGGCTCTGTGCACGTACTTTCAATGTCCTTGTTTGAAATTTTGTGGTGACCAATTTTTTTTTTCTCGTTTTAAACCTCACTATCTTAAGAATTCAACGATGGTAAAAGAAAACAAATACAAATCAAAATTATTATCCGCTAGCAACTGGTTTGTTCATTCTTTGGAAGTAAATTTTGGAGAAAGGTTTTTTTTTTTTTTTAAATTTTAGGAGTGCATTTCATTTTTTTAGAGGGATTTTTTCCCTCGTAAATTCCAATTCTGCGCAGATCTATTACCATCAGGATTTCAGTTTTTTTTTTCTGCAGAAGCATCGGTCACTTCAGAATCTCAAACGTAAAGTCTCCATTGTGTAATCTGTGTCTTGTAATGTTTACGAGTGTTTCAATCTCCTAGCATGTGAGATGGATTTTATTCGCATGGTCCTTGTGCATTTTTTCAACTTGAATTAGATTTTCACCCTACTGCCCAAATTTTCGCTATGTTCTCTCTTTAATGGTTTCTCTTATTTTGCTTTTAACTTCAGGTGAGATTATGTGACACCCGTGGTTTGCAACGTTTATAAACTAGATCTTATTCCTAAAATTTACGATTTAGCAGTAGATAAGTTCTCTTTTTTGACTCGATATGTATCATTGAAAATTGACTCTTAAAATTCTGAAGTTTTGCAAATTCGCTGATTTTTGTTGCTCCCTTTGTGCATCAACGCTTGCTGACCACATTTTGAAATAAGGAACTACTCTTTCTGGCCCATTCACACGAAAAATTCATCTGCATACTGAAACTTATCCTACACTTGTAGTTTCCAAAATTAGTCAGATATTGTAGTTCCTTATCGCTAAATGTAGTTCCATTTCAAACTGCTTTGATTCCCAGTTTTAGTTCTATTTCCCTTGCGATCATCATTCTCTAATATTCAATCATGAGTAAAAGTAACGACTTTTTAAGTAAAAGAAGCTTTTTTTAAGTTGTAAATCATTCTCGATTATTTCAGCTCTTATAATTCTCAAGAATATTATTTTCCTAGTTATTAAGTCTGCCTTGTTTATTTCAGTTGAGTTATAATTTTTAAATTCTGAAAATCAACAGGTAGGATATAATGGAGGCGAACAGCTACTGCTAACGAAACGTTCTTAAGATAAATTCTCACTGAAAGCATCTAAGTAAACATTAAGATATCAAAATAATTTTTCAAAAATACTTGTCTCTTTTTTAAGTTTTGTTGAAAAGTCAATAGCAGAAATACAAGTAATTGTGGCTGCAATTCTGAAATATTGAAGGAGGTTCTCCTAAACTTAATAATCAAAACATACATTCAAGCTTCGACGTGATTTTTGTTAACTTTTTGTGAGGATTTACCTTAATTATTGAGCGTTATTAAGCAAAAGAAAGCTGTCTTTCAAAAGGAGTTTTCTGAACAACGTATGTTCCAGTATAACACACCGATGCATACGGGTTTTTCGAATCTGGCTCTTTTTGTATGTAGATTCCTTTTGCTTAATGATTTCCGTTATTTTCAGTTTCATGTTCTCTACGTGGCTAATTGTCTCATTTTGCTTAGTTTTAAAATTCGATTCCACTTTTAAATATCCTTTTCCTGTAATTTTCCATGGTTTTGTTCTTCATTTACTCATGTGTGAATAGTAGTCAAAGGTGACTCATACCTGGCTGTTAGTTAATATTACTCTGTCCAAAAATTATTATTAATTTTTAAAATTCTATTTATTTTAATCGTTCTCGTTCAGATTGATTCAATGATATACAAAATAATTTATGAAAATAGTGTTTATGTCAAAATTGAGTTTTAAAAGTTTATTTATTTATAAATAATTTATTAAAAAAAAATGTAAAGAATTACAAAGATTTAAAGAAAAGAAAAAAGAAAAAAAAAGTATGTACTTTCCCCTGTATTTGCGAAGTTAAGAGTGTAATTATGGTCTTTTCAATTGGTTATAAAATTGTTAATTTGTACATTACTCAGAAATCTTACCATAAAAAGACAAACTATTTTAAGGTATTGTAGAAAAGCGATTGTGTATAATTGTACATTCTATAGCTGTATGTATTAGCACTTATATCTTATTTGTAATATTTGTATAGCTATTTTGTACATTTTAATAAGAGAAGAAAAATTAAAAATTCCAATCGTATTTGAAACTTAATCATTTTTCATTTTTTTACCATCCCGCCATCTTTCAAATGAAATTGTAAAATTAATTTACAATAAGAAGTCTATATAAGAGTGCTATAAAGAAACTATAAATTACTGTAAATCAGTTTAGAAGAACGTAGGCGCAGTATTCGAATCAAACAGACGCCATGCGCATCGTGCTATTAGTGCTCCTAAACATTTCTTATTTGCGACCAGACTGCTGCGAACCTATAAGTAGACAAACTTGAAAGAGAGAGATTATTGAAAATGATATTTTCAGCCCTCGTATTGTATTGAATGGAGAATTTGCACACAAAAATTTTATTGGTTCATCTTAAAGTGCCTAATGAGCTGAGTTTGCAGTATTTTTCATAATTTTTTCGGACATGAGAAATTGGAGAAAAATTGATTTTAAAGTGAGAAAATGTGCCGCCTTATGACGTCATCTGGCGGCATTTCCCATTTAAACACATGTATTTTAGCAGAATCGGTTATTTTGTCATATCTCATCTAATAATTGCTCAATTTTGTGAATCAGTGGTATTTTCGTGTTCAGTTCACTTAGTAAATTCCACTAAAACACGAAATTCGTCAAATTTCAGACCCTTGCAAATTCTCCATTCGTATGATTTTACAATGCTGAAAACGAAAAATTTCAGAAAATTCGCCCAATGGTTGCCTCTCGAAAATATACATTAGTGGTGGAGATTCTGAAACACTGAGACCAAGAAATGCTCTTTCTGCACGAAACGCCTCAATTACTAGGAAAATTGGACGTATTTATGCTAAGGAACTATATTAAACGAAAACCCTATGCACTTAGTTCCTTTTAGCGTAAATACGTCCCATTGGATTGCATTTTGCAAAAAGGAACCAGAAGAATTGCAATGATGCTAAGATTGTGCATTTTCATCCTTTGCAACGAAATTACTGAAACCATGAACAAATATGAAATTTACATGGTAATTTTTGCCCTCATTCAGTTTTTAGCCAGTAAAAGAGAAACTGTCAATGGATAATCATGGTTTTTTCTTCCAAGACAAAAGAAGTTGCTGAATCTCAGCAACACTGCAATGCTCTTGGTTCCTTTTTGCAAAATGCAATCCAATTGTAAATACTATTAATTCAATTTTTTGATGAATTTCTATGGCAATGTGATCCTAAGTATCTGCAGGCTGCAGGGTTGCCACGGTCAGGGCATTGCCAGGGAAAACCTGGAAACGTCATTGAAAATTACTAAAGAGTCGGAGAAAAATTGTCTATTTGTCTTGACGAGCATTAGCTTTCGAGAGTGGATTTGGCGCTCAGAACAACACGTTTTGCCCAGAAATTATTTTAAATTTTGTCTTTCTGGCCGTATGGCAATCTTTCATTGTCAAGGAATTTGACTCAAAAGTGTCAGGGAATTTAAATTTTTAAAAGTGGCAACCCTGTATCTGAAAATTTCAAGGAGAAAAATGCATATAGTTTTTTAAAAAATCCATATTTTAACAGGAGGCGGCTAAGGTGCAAAAGCCTCCCGGGCCTATTCTGCCGTGCTAAGGAAAAACGCCGTATGAACATTCGAGAGTTACCAAATTTCCTTTGATAAAATGTTTATTTATGAGGAAAATTATGAATATTTTTCCTTGAAATTTTCAGGAACTTTAGATCAAAATACAAAGAATAATCCCTGAAAAATTAAAAGAAAAATATTCATAAGTTTACCTGGGAATTCGTGTTTTATCGAAGAAAATTTGGCAACGCCTGAAGGTTCATACGGCGTTTTTCCTTAGCACGGCAGTATTGCCTTGCGGGCCCCTGTGCCATGCAGAGTTTTTTTTCTGGCCCCTCCAAGAATCGAGTCATTTCCATAGGTTTAAACGGAGGAAATCCGGTGTTGCCAAATTGCTGGTTCCGCCAATGACGGTCCTGCGCGGGGATCCTCCACTAAAAATAGCCGCCGAGAATGGCCTTTCAGTGTCCCGCAAGACCTCCACCGCCTCTGCTTCTTTTTGAGCCCAAAAAGGGGAAATCCCGTAGGTTATTTCGTACTTTGTAGAGGTCTCGATGAGGGTAGGGGAAAAATGGACGTATTTCTATCAAACGGAACTATGTGCATTATGACGTGAGCCCTGTTACGCACATACTCTTATGGGTCTCAGGGCTCATGTCTCAATGCACATAGTTCCGTTTGATAGAAATACGTCCAAATGTGGAATCTGGATTCCACGTTTCCATTCTGCCGTGCTGAGGAAGAACACCGTATGATCCCTCCATAGTTGCCAAATGTCCCCGAATAAAACATGTACTTTTGAGGAGAGTTTTGGACATTTTTCCCTGAAATTTTCAGATATTTTAGATTAAATTGTGAACAAAATTCCCTGAAAAATTGGAGGAAAAATATTCAGGATTTTCCCAGTAAATTCGGTTTTATCGGAGGAAACTTGGCAACGTCTGAAGGCTCATACGGCTTACTTCCTTAGCATGGCAGGACAAAGTCCCTTTATAGAGAGAGTTGAGGCAACGCGACTTATGGATGTCATAAATGGGAATGAAGATTACACAAATTGATAGTTTTTTTGCAATCTTTGATCAACCCATTTCCGAATTCATGTCTCCATTCCCTCTCTCATTCTGTTTGTTCCTTGTTGCGCTTCCCATTCCCCGGTCCATTCCAGTTTATAATCTTTGGAATTGGTGAAAAGGTAATCTTTATTCCCGTGTGTGACACTATGAAGGCCTAAAGTACGGGAACCGAACGAGAAATGGATTCGCATTGTATTTACCAGAGAAGTCTTTACTCTCAGTATAGAGGGACTTTCAGTCTCCACCCCAGTCTCTAGAGATAAAAAAAATTCACGAGACTTTATAAAATGAATTTCATAGTAAGATTTTATCCAACTTTATCTCATGGTAGGTAGTCTGAAAGATGAATCTCATGGAAATCTCGTGGAATTTTGTGAAATTCTATCACCGAAATGAAATTTCAGGTGAAATTTGGAAGTTTCCTGAGCGAAATGAAATTCCATTTTGCGTCTCTGATTGCCAGAATTGCTGCCTGAAAACCCGAAAAAATCAGGAAATTTCCGAGGACCGGGAAAAGTCAGAAATCTCGTGCATAAAGAAATAAAAGGAGATATGTTCGCATCTTGGGGATTGTTTACCCCGTGACATAGGTCGGTACAGCATGGCCAGCAAAATCCGAAACTCGAAGTGTGAAAAACGGACCATAAAGTCCGATTTTTTCCATTCAATCAACTCATGCTATGATTTCAAAAACTTTGTGTAGAATAACTTTTTTCCATGAACTACACCATTTCCATTAAGTTTGATACGGAACCACCTTAATATTTACTAAACACACATTATATTTTCCTTTAATACATATTTTTTTTCATCAATTAAAATGAAAACAATCCATACAGGATGTGCAAACATTTCAAAATCATGAGTTGAATAACGCTGACTCCGCCAGATTAAATGTTAGAGTCTAACACATAGCGGAGCGGCGACGCACTGGCGCCTACAAACCTAACAGGGATACTTCACGCATTGCGCTACGCGTGAAGTATCTCTGTTAGGTTTGTAGGCGCCAAAGCGCGTTCCGTGCTAGCTGCCCGCCTGCCGCGCGGCAGCGTTCCACGGCGCTTGAAGTAACTATTTCACACCAGAGGTATTGCACAGTATCATACGAAACTGAAGGCGCTCTAATATATTAGGACTGGCAGGCATCCATCAAAAGTACGGAGCTTTCCTCGCAAAATAAATCAAGATACTACGGCCCAAAAAGAGAGCAGTAGTCCAAAAACTCACTAAGTCCTAGCATACGTAATTAGTAACGTTTAGCATACACTTTATCGCCTGGCTGTTGCTTAATCGCCATCGTCTATAAAAGGCTATAAGAAATTGTGTAGCCGGCTATAGAAGCTATTGGAAATCGTACGGCCGGCTGTAGGTCTATGGTATTTTGGAACACAGATTCTACTGCCAATTTTTACCAGGGCAGCTTTTGAATGCCGTTTTCCGCATCATTTGATCTCGAAGCAAGGTAATTTTGTCGAAAGTTTCTTGGTGGTGTTGGTAATCATTAGGGGACTTTGATGGCGCAAGAGTTGCCGGACGTCCACCATATTATTCTCTGTAAAAATTGGATTTTAAATTTTCAGAGTTGGCATCTTCGAAAGAAACGAGATTGCGGCGGTGGAATTTCGGTTAGAAATGGATACAAATTATACACATTCTTTAAGGATGTTAACTGCTAAAAGAAAAAACAAATCTTGAATACCCAGGGTAACAAATCAAACAAAAATGCTTGAATAAAAATAATATTCATGTGGTATTACTTCAATCTTATCTGTCTAGTGTTTTATCTATCAATTCAATAAGTAGCCTGCAGCTGCGGTTTTAAAATCGCAAGAACAAGCTAGCCAAGATGGGCCGGGCCGGACGCCTCACTTGCAGAACGCCTTCAATTTTTAGATATGCAAAACCGTCATCCATAGAGCAGGAATAGTTGCATCAAACGTGCCAAGGCGTCATTTGTCAGAGTGAGGGAAAACAGAGAGTGATCTTGCAGATTTTACCAAGGTGAGAAGGTTTGAAGTTGCACATATACGTGAGACTCGGTGTTAAGGGCAATATTTGATAGTGATTCCCACGTTCAAATACTTTTTCTCATCTTTTAATTTTTGAAAGGCGACAAATCTTGATCATTTGAAGTCAAAACTATTTCAATTTCTTTTTCCCCCAAAAATGTAACTTGGTGCGTTCACGTTAAATTCAGCCCCGTTTACACTGTCGCGCTGATAGAGAACGTCGTATGATTCTTCAGGCGTTTCCCAATCTCCATCGATAAAATACGAATTTTCTGTGAATATCTGTGAATATTTTTCCTCCAATTATTCAGAGAATTTAACGCGTAATTGGATCTAAATTATCTGAAAATTTCATGAGAAATATGTGCTACTCTTCTCAAAAGATAACACTTGGTTGGAGAAAATGTTGTAACGCTCGAATGTTTATACGATG